TTTTTTTTTTTTTTTTTTTTTTTTTTGTACCAGGGATTGAACTCAGGCCCTTGTGCTTGTGAGGCAGGCGGTAGCACCACTGAGCCAAATCCCCGGCCCTCACTGTATTTTTGATCATACCTCATAAAGACACTCATGAAAGATGACTTCCAGAACTACATCGGAAAGAAGCAAAGTGTGCAAAGCAAGGAGGAGTACTATATCTTCAGGGACATTGATGGAAATGTGTCTTTTACTGTAATTAAACTGAAACGCTCACCTTATATTCTGGTCACCTCTTGTAGTGGTCACACCCCACTCCTTGTCCTAACTCCCCAGGGACACAGTGCTGCTACTCCACATCCCCGGCATCTGACACAGGGTCCGGAACAGAGCAGGTACCCAGCAGAGACTTCTGCAGGGAGGGCTGACGGATGCTCCTCTCTACGGCCCAACCCTGAGGGGCACCTGACACTGCAGGTGCCAGGGCCTGCACACGGGCTGCTTGCGTTGTACCTGCCTGGCCTCAAAGTTCTGCTGAAGCCGCAGGGACTAATGGGAGTGCCGGGAACTTTGAGTCGTGAATCACCTGACACATGCAGCAAGCCTGCTGGGCCTGCGTGGTGCCGCTCAGAAGAAGGGGCAAGCAACCCTTTCGGCAGGGCCAGAGAGGAATTATTTTAGGTTCTCTGGCCTGAGAGACAAAACCAAGATGCTATGTGGGTATAGATCTAACTACTTAAAATGTAATATTTCACATGTAAAAACTGGTCAGTGTCTGGGTAGCAGGTTAGATTTGGCCTGAGAGTCTGTTTGCCAACCCTGATTGAGAACTCTCCCTGGATAGCATTGTGCTTTCTGTCACCTGCATCCACCCAGCAGAGCTGTGATGAGAACGGGTCAAAAGTCAGGCCGTTGGGCAGAATTAGCTCATCCTGTGCAAGAATCCTGCGGTTTGTGCCATCCATGTAGGAAGTTTCAATTTTGGGGTTTTCTCTGTTCCAGTCTGTCCAGTAAAGGTTCCTGGAGTAAGAAGAGGAAGAGAAATGCTAAACATGTATGGGAGAAAAGTACAAAAAACACTTTAAAGAATCTGTAATGAAGAGATCAACACACAAAAACGCACAGCAGCTCTAAACAGGAGATGGATTCTGTTCCAAGGACACTCAAGACTTGATTTCTCACCTGAATTTGATTGCTCTGTTACTAACAGATTCAGTTCCCTAACATAGCTCAAAAAAAGCTGTCATCAAAACAAAATGTCCTAAGTGACATAAAATGCACATTAATTCTCCATATGCTGCCACCGTACAGACCCAACGGAAGGCTGCAGACACCAGCAGAAGCAATGGCCAAAGCCCCACTACTCAAGAGGTGGTCGAGCAGCCACGGCACGAGGAATGTGTCTGGGGCACAAGACTGCAAGACAGGAAAGAGCAGAAGCAGCGATGTGCTGAGGAAACTTGCAGGAGGAGTCTCTGGATGGCCAAGCCCCAGGAAGAAGCCCAGGGTGCAGGGGGTTCGTGGTCACACGAGTGTGGATCCACATTCAACCCTTGCAGGAAATACCCAATTTCTAAGCCGTCAACTTGCAAAGTCTTCTGGTAAAAGATGTTTAAATGGAGCGTGGTATGAAGCCCGCAGCAAAATAAATGTGCTGGATTTCTGCCAGCTTGCAGGCAGTCACCAATCATAGACTCCTCCATCCCAGGACAGCAACACTGACTGGCGTTGGAGCCTCACATCTGAGAATATCCAGAAGGGCCAGAGGAAAATACAAGAGACACAAAAATACCCTCTCACGGGATCCGTTATGATGCTTCTGGGATTCACCAAATCGGTATCAAACAGCACCCGGCGCTGTGTGCCATCCAGCTTGGCAACTTCTATTCGATCCAAGTAAGAATCTGTCCAGAACATGTTGCGGCCATGATGGTCAATGGCAATGCCTTCTGGGCTTCCCAGACCTAGAGCCAGATACAAACAGGTTAGCTTTTCCTTTCTTTTCTTCCATATCATTGTCTTCCTCCTTCATTCTGTTTGTTTTCTGTGGTGCTGGGGACAGAACCCAGGGCCTTGTCCATTGAGCTGCATGCCCTACCCGGCACTAGACTTTGCTGATGTCCCAGTGCCCTTTCACAGGATATCCAACCCTTGTACTTTGAAAAACCACATGGGGAACTGGGGATTTAGCTCAGTGGTTCTGCCGCCTGCCTCGCAAGCAAGAGGTCCCGAGTTTGATCCCTGGTATCCCCCACCCCCAAAAGAAAACCCCAAGTGGGAATGTATGAAATGACTGTTGTTTAGAAGATAAACAACTCTTAGGGATTGGGGATTTAGCTCAGTGGTTCTGCCACCTACCTCGAAAATGCAAGGACCCAAGTTCAATCCCTTGTATAAAAACAAAACAAAAAAACCCCAAAAGCCTAAGATAAGCAACTCTCAAAGTGACAGTGGTCCTTGTCCACCCATCATGTGTGGCGGTGGAAGCCAGAGCAGGCACAGGGACTAACTGTGGCCTCAGCTCACAACCTACCACAAACAAATCAGACTGGATTCCAGGTTCTGTGGGAGCCTGGATGATGAATTCAGCCTGCAGTGGTCAGGGAAGGCTTCCTGGGAGAGGAGACACCCCCAAATCTGGCTCCTACAGGACCCCTCAGAGTTTGTCAGGCAAAGATCCTGGATGAGAGTTTTTGGGGAGCAGGGCCAGCACACAGGTCTAAAGGAAGGTGGGAAATGGACTGAAGTGAACTGTGTGTAATTTTTTACAGCTAGAGAACACGAGCCACAGACAAAGTGAGGATGCTGGGCATGCTGGTGGGTATCTATAATCCCCGTACTCTGGGAGGAGGAAACGGGGGGATTGCAAGTTTCAGCCCAGCCCGGGCAACTTAGTGAAACCCTCTCTTAGGATTCTCCCTTGTATTGATCAGGGGCACCATAGCTGGAGGGAAGCAGATAGAAGGGGAAAAGGCTATCCCACTGAGCAGCCTGAGGTTGTCTGGTCTGCACACAGCGAGTCTAGCACTCTGCTCCCTTTGTACATCAGCTGTCCCCGGACCCCCAGCACATCAAAGCCTCTGACTCTAGAGGACAGAAACCACACTATGAGGATCGTCTTTATTATTCAAACCCATAGTAGAGCTTTGTAAAGTAGCACAATCTTTCCCATGTCCCCAGAGCCCAAGGGACAGTGAGAGTGACCTCCAGTGGCGCCTTCTGGCTTTCAGACAGAACCTGAGTAACCCATTCTGGGAATATTTGGGATGAGCACATCTGGTGACAGATGGGAAGCACATGGGTGCATAGAGGAGACAAAGGCTGCCTAACGTGGCCTTCTCTTGGAGGGGCCCCACGGAGCTCCAATTCGTAACATTTCCTCTAACACAGCCCCAGTCCTGAGTTAAACCCAGGAGCCACCAAGGCCCCTCACTCCCAACCAGGAAAACACTATGCTTCCAAAGGAAGGGCTGGAAAAACCACACCCCTTACGGTGCTGAAGAACGGGGTGGATGGCATGGTGATGTTTCATTCTGCACTGCCCCGTTGAAAGGAACCTGATGGCATGCACACAGCAAGAAAGAGAAGCCTAGGATTCTGAGTGTAGGAAATCAGGAGGAAAAGGAAAGCATCCCCACACCGCCTAACTCCCCAGCAAAGCACAGGCCTGTACCCTGCTAGAGGAGATACAGTGCCTGAACAGCGCCCCCTCTCACCCATATCTGTCTCTGCCTGTGATCTTCTATCTACAAAGACCACATTTGGGTTTAATTCTATGTCTTTGAAGTACGCAGGCTTTTGCTTGGGAGGTTTCTGACTGTGCTTACAGCATTCTTGGATGATTATCAGGCCCAGAAGCAACAGGAAATAGCAAATGATGACCTACTCCCTCCTTCTAGTGGGGTTTCAAATCAAATTGTAGATAATAACATTTTTGACAGAGATAAGAGGCACAAAGGCATTTTCAAACTTCTGTTCAGTAAGCCAAAACATAATAACCAGCAGACATCTTTTAAATGGCCTCTCGGTTTCCAGAAAACGATTCCGGGTCTAAGTGCAAAGCCAGAGACTTAATCCAGACTTGACTCAGTTCCCATGGCAGCAGCTCTAGGGAGGAAAGAAGTGCCCCTCGGGGTCCTTCCAGCACAAAGAACCTTGCAGAGTATCTAGTACTAGAGAAATGTTAAACTGGAAATTGCAAAGGCTCAAGTAAAAAGATTCATAAAATGAGGCATATACATTTTAAAGATGTATCTCTGATGTGAACATTTTATAGAGGGAGCAAAAAAGACCTCATACAATAAATATCAACATGACAAATCTGAGCACAAATATTCCCAGGTCAGTTGATGAGTAATGAATTAAGCAACATGTAATTCTTGACAGTACAGGAAGATTTTTATAGGTCCTAGGATTTTTTTGCTAGCGGCTTTTCATCTAGATAAAACATACCCATGGAAAATGGTCTTGATTTGTTGAGTACAGGCTTTAAAATACTGCATGGAGTCCTGGGCTCATACTGGCTTCCTTTAGATGAGGCGATCCAAACAAGTAACGAGGTAGAGAAGAGAAGCTGAGCTCCCCTTCACCCCACTATGCTACAGGGTAAAATGACAACCCTTTCACTCAACAGCTGTCTTGGGAATAGACTCAACCCTCAAGGTAAGTGTTTGTGAAAGACTCATGAGCCTCCCAACTTTGTGACTCATCTGCCTGTCCCCTTTGGGAAGTTCCTCAAGGAGCAAATGGCAGAGTGGCTGCTCCAGGCTCAGCCACCAGCAAGAGCCATGAAAATGGGCTATAGGTGCTTTCGGGGAAAAGCAGAGGCACTTGTGCTATTTTGATTTTACTCTCCTGAGCTGGCAGCAAATCTCAGCTACAGAGTCCCTGGTTTTGTTTGTTTGTTTTTGGTACAGGGGATTGAAGTCGGGTCCTTGTGCTTTCCAGGCAGGCGGTGGAACCACTGAGCTAAATCCCTGGCTACAGTGTCCCTGGTTTAATGGTGAGTTCTTGAGGGACACTTCAGAGATGGAAAGGTGTTGCTTTGGGGGCAGAGGACCCACAAACCACCACATCTGTGAGCGACCATGTATTCCACCTTCCACTGCCTAGCAGAAGCCACATGACCTGCTAAAAACAAGACCCAAAGGGGTGATGTCTGCTTGCCTACCTTGCTGGACAACGGTGGCTGGCTCTCCACCATGCAGGCTAGCTTTCCCGATGCAAGGCTCGCTGATGTCCGTCCAGTAGACCATCTTGTCCACACAGTCATAAGCCAGTCCGATGATGATCTTCTCCTACAAGGGCAGGGGGAGCTTTCAAATAAAGTGTATTCAAGTCTGTTACCTATGTAAAATTTCGCATTACCGAATTGCAGCTGTTTATGTATTTCACATAAAACTCTTTCCCCATATGCATACACATGGAGGAATGTGTGTATATGTGTTACTTCCTCTCACCTGTAGCTTGCCTTTCCATTTTCTTTCTTTTTCTTTTTTCTTTTGGTACAGGGAATTGAACTCAGGACCTTGTGTTTGCGAGGCAGGCGGCAGAACCACTGAGCTAAATCCCTGGCCCTATGGCTCATGTTTTTTATATACCACCTAAGACATTTGCCTATCTGAAAATTGTAAATAAAAGGCAAAATATTGGAGAGGAAGAAGTAAAACCTCTCTATACAAAGGTAATAAATGTTTATGTAGGAAGTACTGGGGAACCATGAAACTATTATAATAATTGAATTAAGCAAGGTTGCTGACCACAAGGTCAATATAAACCTGTGCTTCTATAAAGTAGCAAAAAATAGAAAAGGAACTTTAAAAACAGTGTTTCCACTAGCCTCAAAAAAACTCATAAAATATTTAATAAACACTCTTACACGTGCAAAATTCTATACCAGGTATTACAAAACACTGCAGAGTAAAATTACAAAAATAAATAGAGGTGCATTAGGTTAGTGGATTGTGAGACTGGATTGTAAGATATCTATCTAACAGTTCTCCCTGAGTTATAGGTTCAGTGTCATCTTTATCTAAGTCCCAACACGCTTTTTTTTTCCTTGTAGAAATTCACAAGCTTATTCTAAAATGTTACACAGAAATGTGAAAAAATCGAAAATAGTCAAAACATATGGAAGACCAGATGGGGAGACTGAGACCTCATTGGCTTCCTCGGCAAGCACCGAGAAGAGGGCATGCAAGTGTGCTCGCACTGCAGGGAAAAGAAAAACGCCTGAGGTTAAGGTCTTTACCCGGAGAGGTACCGTGGAGGGTGGGAAACAGACGAATCCTGTGGAACTCTAATTGCTCGTGCCCATGTCTGAGAGAATAAAACCAAGGTGCACTAGTCCTCTGGGGCTCTATGCTGAATGGAGACGTGAGCCCCTGAGCGCCCAGATTGTAACTTGTTTGTGTCTCTTTATTTTTCATCTTTGTTACTCCTTGACCACGTTCAAACTCAGCTTGTAGGCCGCTGGTTCCTTAAAAAACATTCTCAAGAAGGAACCAATTTGGAAAACTCACTCTCTGTGATTTCAAGACTTCATATCCTCCGGGCAGAGTGGAGCTGATATAAGGTTTAGCAGAGAGATCACACAATATAACAGAGCCCCCGAGCAGACCCTCAGTCGTGCAGTAAATGGTTTTCTGACAAGGGCATCAAGGTGCCAAGGGAGAAATCACTTTTTCAACAAACAGTGCTAGGATATCTGGATAAACATGTGGGAAAAAGACTCTCAGTTTGGCATGGTGGCACATGCTTGTAATTTCCGCATTCTTGGAGGCTGAGGCAGGAGGATTCAAAGTTTGAGCCCAACCTGGGCTATTAATTAAGCAAGGCATTGTCTCACCATAAAAAATAAAAAGGACTGGGGATGTAGCTTACTACAAATACCCTAGGTTCAAAAGACGGCACCCCAGCCGAACACAGGACTCTCAATCTGACTTTTCACCATATGCAAAAATTAAAAGCTAAAATTATACAATTCCTAGAAGAAATGATAAGAAAAGGTCTTCATGGTCTTCTGAATCAGTTTACCTGCCAGGCTAAGCTTATAAAAATAGACAAGGTGCTCCAGATTATAGAACTGGATTAAATTCATTAGTGTATCATGAATATGCACATTATAAATTTATATTTAGATATAGTTACATATTGCAAATTTATATTGTCACATTATGTATGTTGCATACACAGCCATTAACTATCTGGGTAGCCTCAGTGGACCAGTATGGCAGACACAGTGTCCCAGATCATCATGACCCAGTGCTCAGGCCACCCGTGGTACCTCTCTTGCAACTGGGCTACACTTGCATCTGAAGAGATATCGAGGGTTAAGATCCCCGGAGTAAGCCGACTTCTCCTCAGAACAGGGGACCTAATTCTTTGCCATTAATTCATTTAACAAGTATTTACTGGTGCCTTTGCCAAAGATTCTTTGGTTGGCCCAAAGTCCAGTGAAGCACTGAATCTTCCTTCAGGTCCTTCTGCATACTTCCTGGTAACATCCAGTTTCAGCAATGAACTCTTCTAATCAGTAAGTTGAGCAAGAAACTGGCACCCTCAAGATCTGACCAGCTCCTCATCCCGAAATGATGGCTGATAACCCCAACCTGCCCACCACATTCTTGTTTTTGCTTTAGCCAGAATCCCTATAGCCAGAATACCCTAGTACCGATGTTTCCTTAGTCCCTTTCCACACACGAACCCCATCTGTTCTCTGGCTATCAATCCCTAATTGCCTATGCACATTCAGGGTTAAATCCAATCTCTCTTCTTCACTGCAAGACCTGACTGCTGTGATCCCTGTATCTATCAAGATGGTCCTGAACAAAGTTGTTTTTACTATGCTTTAACAAAATAATTCTCTAAAAATTTGTTTTTAACACACTTTTGTCTGAGGTGTGATAAAAATACATGATGACTGTTTAAATAAAAATGTATTACAGGGCCAGGGATTTAGCTCAGTGGTTCCACTGCCTGCTTTGCAAGCTCAAGGTCCAGAGTTTGAACCCTGGTTCCCCCCCCCGCAACAAAAAAAGTATTACAGTGAAAGACATATTGCCATGAATCCCCTCAGAATACTTCCCCTTACTTCAGATACATGTATCCCATTGTTCTTATTACTTTCTGAAGAAGTCCTGGAAGTCCTCTTTCATGAATGTCTTTTCATGGCTTTCTAGATGTCCTAAACCTAAATTGATTCATTTACTGCAATTTCTGTTAAAAAGCCACTACAGTGTAGGGCTGGGGATTTAGCTCAGTGGCTCTGTGCTTGCCTGGCAAACACAAGGTCCTGAGTTCGATCCCCGGGTACAAAAAACAAAAACAAAAACAAAAAAAAACAAGCCACTACAGTGTAGAGCATGTGTTCTGGAGGATACAAAGGAGACCAGCAGTGATCCTTGAGGAATTTATGTTTTCAGTGGGGCGATGGAGTACAAAATAATGGCCCATACATTTGTTCAGCAAACAGTTTTCTGAGCCTTCCAACTCCAAGTGAGGCTCACTGGTGGGTTGGGAACAGGGTGATCCAGTTGAGGGGGAGACTCTCGGAGCCACATGGAAAGAGTGCCTTTTTTCCAGGGGTCAGTCCAAGGTTGTGGTGTGCTCTCACTCTCCGGGTCACAGGAGCAGGAGCTGTCACCAGGGCCAGCAGCCAACACTTACTGGGACATGAAGAAATGCCTTGGCTTCTGCCTTCTTCATGGTATTTCCCTCCAGGGGAAGGCGCTCGATCTTCCCAGCCTGGGCAAAGAGTAAGTGTGTCCCAGGAGGTAGGGGGATCACAGAGGTAGGCAATGCAGGTCGCTGGTGAACCACGGGGGCCACTGTACTCAGACCTAGGGGACAGGACAGGCCAGCGATCAAGGGCTGTGCACACCAGAAACAGACACACACACACTCATGGTACCACAGATGCACACACTCAAACGCATGCACACAAAAACATATGTGTGCATACGTACGAAAACACATGGGCTAATGTACGTATGCACCCACATTTTGGGTCATGTCACTTTAATGGTACCACAAACCGAAAAATTGCACATTTTCTACCTGAAAACCCCAAAAGCAGAAAGCCCACAGTCAAAGGGCATTTGTGAAGAAGGTGAGGTAGGGCGTGAGTCTAGCAGTAAAAGGTCCAGTGAAAGGCATGGCTTAGCTCCATCTCTCAGGGCAGACTGCTGTGCACGCTCGCTCAATGGCAGCCCTGCAGTCCTTGCCCAAGGGGAACTTGTTCTAGTGGTTCCACTGAGCTTGTCAATGCTGGGGGAGCCCGTCACACCAGGGCATCCTGCACACACCGTCAGGGCCGTGGGGTGGGGCAGCCTCAAACCCAGACCAGAATCATGACTCCCCTGCCCTTCTTGCCTGGCCAAGCTTACGCTCTTGGACCCACTGCAGCTTCCACTGAGCGGTCGGGTGCTTCTAAACCTGAAACCGGCTTCACACTGGCGCCTTCTTCTGGGGCTCCAGTGCTTCTTGATGCCCCCTAACCAGCACCCACCCCGCTCAGCCTGGCACCTGGTACCCTCTTGTCCCTCACTGACGGTGAACCCCTGAAGCTTCTTCTTCCCTTTCCTTCCTTTCAGTCAGTGCCTACTTCCCTCCTGGGCCCTGCACAACCTCAAGGTTCTTACAGTGTTTTCCAAAGGCCCCCTTGTCTCCCAAAACCCCCGCAAGCTGTTTCTTCTGTGGCTTCCTGCTCACCGCCCTGTCCCGTAGAGCTCCTTTCCCTACACTTTTTCTGACTGTTCCCATCTTCTCAGGGTTGCTGAGGGCCCAGATCCATGACATTCTTCTGTGTCCCCAGGACCCACAGCAAATGTTGGCCAGGTGACTTAGTGCTGCTCGGCAATCATCTGTGCTGCTCCTTAGCAGCGTTGGGGAAGTGTCTGGGAGAAGCTCTCTATCTATGGGTATTGGCTGATCTGAGAAGGGAGATTCAAAACTTAGTTGTAAGGAGTTAGTCTGTGACAATGACTCATTTCTACGTTTTTGTCAGAAGCGGAATTTTTAGAACGGGGCAACACCCTCAGGATTATTCTGCTCATATCTCCCATGGAGGCAAAGGAAACTGAGGCAGGGAATGGAATCTTCATGGAGTCCCACGGCCTTGCTGGGCAGCCTTGAACTGGCTACGGAAAACCCTGGGGCCGTTTGCTCCTTGAGGTCACAACTTCTGGCACCTAAAGTCCCAGGGCACAGGTGTGAAAGAGGCAGGAGCTGAAAGATGTAAACAGATACCTAAATAAGCACGGCTCCGACAGGTCCCCAATTCTTGCCCTGTCACCAAACAAACATCCCCTCTGCCCATCTCACATCAGTACCACAGGCCCCACTGGGCATCTGCACAGAACCTGCGTGTGCAGAAGGAAGAGAGGTACAGACAGAACGGGGTGGGGAAGGACAGGGCGTGAGCGGGGGCCTCCAGCTCTCGCGCGTGCTGTCCACTTACACGGGGGCTGCAGCCCGGCCCTGGTCCTGGTACCCTCCAGCTCCCGGCCATCCCGGTCCACACACCAGCAGTAGCCCGTGCTGTCGTGGCACTGGGTGGGCGCATAATGCCCGTGTTCATCACACTCAGGGACAAAGAGCCCCGGTGGCCTGGACCGCTGTGTGTCTGCCGCCCCCACTGCGCCAAGGATGTGTTCTCGCTCCTGTTGGCACCGGGTCTTTTCCACCTCTGTCAAGAAACAAAGAAGGAAGCAGTCAGCTCGGTTAGATGTCCTGTGTATGCTGAGCTTCCCACACGACACCAGATCACAAGGGTGCCTGTCTGTCACTGGATTTGGCGTCACTAACTTAAAGAAATTTAAAACGCCAGCATGATGCAATGGATTTAACTGTCACGATTACATTATCTTTACTCTCTTAAAGTTTTTCACAATTTTTAAAAATCGAGGCAAAACATAACATAAAAGGAACCATTTCGAAGTGAAAAATTCAATAGCATGGTACATTCACAGTGCTGTACCATCAGTTCTGAAACATTTCCATGACTCCAAAAGGAAACCAGGAAGCAATTGCTCCCAGTGTTTGGGGTTTTATTTTTTGATGCAGTACTTGCAAGTGAACCCAGGGCCATTGCACTGAGGTATAGCCACAGCCCTTTCTTCCCTTTTTGGAATAGAGTCTCACTAAGTTGTTAAGTTGACCATGCTCTAATGTATAATCCCTCCTGCCTCAGCCTCTCAGAAAGTCAGGATTAAAGGTATGCATAGAACAACTGGCTTATAAGGACTTTAAAATTTTCCTTAAATGTGCCTTTTTCACTCTCACACTCCTTGCTGACTGACACTGAGTCAAGGCCAGAGTCTGCAGATGAAAGATCAGAGTGCTCTTGTGTTTTCCTTTAATTATCTGAAATGAAAATGGGTGTCTAAGCCATGTAACCCTAGCCCCAAAGCAAATATTGTAAGTACTCCAGCTTGAGAAGCCACGGCCTAGAATAAATGACCCCTGAACACCCAGATTTGCAGCTGGCCCCACACTCACTAGAGCTCAGGCACCACTAGGCCCAGGCCTCAGTGGTCAACTCTGCAGTGGTTAGGAGCTGTAGGGCAGGGCTCAGCCAACTTTGACACTCTCACAACTACCCAACACTATGGTTTTGATGTGAAAGGAATCATGTGGCTCCTCCCACCCCTGGCTCTGGGGACTAAATCCAGGGCACTCTACCACTGTGCAGTGTACCCAGCCCTTTTTATTCACTTTGAGACAGAGTCCTGCTAAATTGCCCAGACCAGGCTCAAACTTGCAATACCCCTGCCTCAGCCTCTTGAGTTGCTTGAATTACATGTCTGTGCCACCACTCCTGGCTGCAACCATGCTTAATATACAAATGTACCAACTCCACACAAGGAAGAAAACATTATGTACTGAAAACTTGTACAAAAAAAGGGGGGGGGGACCAAGGGATGGGAGAGGGAAGGGAAAGAAGAAAGGAATTAAGATGTGTTATATACATATGCCAACTCCCAGAAAGATAAACATTATGTACTACACACATGTAATAATAAACTAAATGAAAATAGAAAATGCACAAAAACATATATGAAATGGTTGTATCCCATGGAAATTTTATTTAATGAAAAGAAAAACTGTGTGTGATAGCACATGCCTGTAATCCCAGCACTCTGGGAGACTGAGTAAGGAAGATCCAAGTTTGACCCAACCTGGAAAACTTAGTGATTTAGCAAGAACATGTCTCAAAATAAAAAATTAAAAAGAACGGGGAAAGTACATCAGTGCAAAGGCCTTGGTTCTACCCCAGCTAGATTTGGCTGACTGATACTGTAGCTGCCAATTCCTACTCTAGGGCATTACTCATTACATAAGGAGGCAAAATGTGTGTGTATTACTATGTATTAGTAAAACACACTGTAAAAAGCTGATAGACTGCACAGCTGCGGACCTTCCTGCGTGAAGGGTTTGGTTCCCCGTGGCAGGACTTCCGGCGGTACCATGGGCGTGTCCACAATGCTGCCCAGCCCTCCCCAGCTCTAGAACAGCTGACAGTAGCAATGCCCGCCCCCAGATTACCCTGAGGAGTCAGGGGCATGTGACAAGAGCTAGGGTTTCCCCAGTGCTCACCTGTTGGGGACCCAATCCCCAGTGCAATTGTGTTGAGAGGTGAGACCTGTAAGGGGTGGTGAGGTCACCAGGGCTCTGCCCAGAGGGATGCGCTACGGTGTTTTTGTGGGACTGGGTTCCCCATCTCTTGCCCAGATGATGCCTTTTGCCAGGTTGTGATGCAGCCCTCAAGAGTTCCGTCTTAGATTTCCCAGCCTCCAGAACCACGGGCAAAATAAATATGTTTCTTACAAATTATCAAGAGTGTGATATTCTGCTACAGCAGCAGAAAGTGGACTGAGACAGCACACAGATGGAATGTTAAGCTCTGCACCCAAATGTGTGCCTGTACCTGCGGAAGGCAGATTCTGTGACATTCAGTGAGTGTGCTGCCAGTGCAGGTGTAAAACACCTTTTGTGTACCGGCCTAACAGGACCGCTCCCTTCATGAGGGGAGGTTACTGTACCAGAAAACTTGTTTCTTGCACTGGCAAGAAAAAACTGTATATATTTTTCTTCTGACCCAGGGCTAATTTGAACAACAAACATGTGATATAGGGAGAGCCAAACAAAAATAAGAAGCCATCTGACCAGAAGAAAAATGTTGGTTTTTGTACATTGCTGGATCTAAAATCTGTCTACTTCCTCAAATCTTTTCATTAGTGCTGGGTCTCAGTTTCCATAGTCACTTATATTTCTTATTTAATTTCCCTTGTAATCTTGGGTGACGGGCACCTGGTTTTTATATCAAACAAGAAAACAGAAGCTCACTTCCGTGAAGGAAACTCCCCAGGGCCACAACAGGGTAACTGGGTCAGCTTGGACTAGAATCTGGATCTCTGGATTCCTGGTCCAGGGCCGAGGACTCTTACATACACTGAAGATATTATGTCAACTACAGTGTACACATTTAACACAAAGTACCTGAGAACCTGGGCAGTTTCCTCTTAGCCACATCTCTACACAGAGCTGCTTTCCCAGCTACAAAGTATGACTGATGTGCCGTGTGCAGTCAGTCCAGCCAAAATTTAAGAGAGCTCATATTACTTTATTTTATGTAGCTGACAAGAGTTTTGTGTTAATGTGATATTTCGCTTATAAAAACCTCTGTGGCCCAGATGCGGCACACCTATATTCCCAGCACTCTTGAGAAGCTGAGGCAGGAGGACCACCAAGTTTGAATTCATTTTTGGCAACTGAGTGACTTAATGAGACACTTTTTCAAAAATAAAAGAATTTTAAAACTGTGGGGATGTAGCTCAGTGCAAAGGCCCTGGGGTTCAAACCCAATTTCCATAAAAACAAAACAAAAAACTCTCAGTGAACTGGAATCAATAGTGTAAATTTTAAGTGCTGCATCTTGAGTTTAAGAAAAGGAAGCAAAACCTCAATTCTGATTCAGGAAACTGAATTTTAAGTGTTTACAGAAACTGTGACCTCAGTGGGGCTCCTAGTATGTTGCTGAGCCCAGCCAGCAGACAGTGGATGGCCCCTGCTGAGGTCTCTGGGCCCCAGGGATTGTCCAGCAAGGGCCCGTTGGATGGGTGGACAGTGGGGTTACGGAGACACATTTCCTGGGCTTGTGTCTGGTTGGGAAAGTGCTGACCGAGGCTGGCTACTTCTTGTCCACCCAGACTGAGAGGCTCCAGGAGGAAGCTCTCAGGCTGATACTCATCAGAGGAAGGGCAGGAAGTCAGTGACTTCTCAAGGAGCGAACAAAATGAGCAAGAGGAAAATGAAGCAGAGAGAGACGTGAGGCTGGGGGGAGGACCCCGGCCGGGAGCCCATGGAGGACAGGGTTAGCAAGTGAGGAAGAAAAGCCACTTATCAGGGTCTTGGGCGGCACTGAGGTGACACTGCTGCAGTGTCTGCCCGGGTACAGCAGCTGCCTGATGGAAGGCCAAAGAGAACAGGAGGCCCAGAGATGCTGGGTATTGGACCTGGCTGACGTACTGCTCTGCAGAGCAGGTTAGAGGGGACTGGAAGGGAAAAAAGGAGGAGGCTGGAGGCTCAGTGATGCCACACTGACTTAGAAACAAGACCACTGGACAGCTCAGGGGCAGAGGTGATGGTCCGAGGGCCACAGGCATCAAGCTTAGGATGTTGTCGAACTTGTGGGTCTGGCTGGGGTCTCTCACAGCCTGATCTCACCACCTGCTCCTTGCTGTCCTTCCCCATCTCCTAGCCAATCCCACCTGTCCTCGAAGGTCAGGTGCAGAGCCTCCTGGTGCTCACACTTTCCCTGCTGGTCCCCTTGGGTCTCTGCCCCAAGCCCCTGGGCATCACACAGATTCACCACTCCCTGAGAATAACAGTGCAGGCTCCTCCAGAGCAGGGCTTGAGGTCTGCGTGCAGAACACAGTGGCAGGCACAGAGGGGATGCTTAAGAAGTACTTCGCCAAGCAACTAGTTAGCTGAGTACCCTGGACAATTTAGCTAGTCCCTCTGAACCCCCTCATCCACCCATTCAAAGGGGCCAACTGAAGACTGGATAAAGAAGATCTGTGTGTGTATGTGTGTGCGTTTGTGTGTGTGTGTGTGTAATAAAATGGAGTACTACTCAGCCATAAAGAACTAAAAACTAGAGACATTTATAGCTAAATGGATGCACCTTGAGGCCCTACTCTTAAGTGAAATAAACAGGCCACACATGTAAATACCAAAGAGTTTTCTGGTGTGAAAAACTAAAAGTGTAAATAGGATCAAAATGTATAATAGATAATGTGAAATAGGAAGAAAAGGTCCAAAGGGGAAGGGGAAGTGGGAGGGAGTAGGGAAAAGAAAGAAGGGAATGGAATTAATATGAGAAAATGAAAAAAGTGCAAACAAAGTCTTTGTAAAGAGGGAGGGTGGAGGGGTTGAAGGGCGGGCAGGGGAATGCGGAAAAAATAAGAACCAATAGAGACTATGTAAAGGTACAAATTTTCAGTGATGAACATCACTATATTGTAAACCTAAAATGTACCAACAAACTTCATGAAAAAACCAAACCAAACCAAACCAAACCAAAAAACAACTAGGGGCACAGCACAGTGCAAACGGCTCTGGGTTCATGCCCACGTAACACACACACACACACACACACACACACACACACACACACAAAAAGAA